TCTTACTGATAATATTAGTCTTTGCTTTGCAATCTAAATTCTAATTAGTCAAACCACCAACAACTACATTCTTTGCATCATTGTTTTCACATGTTTCCTAGCTCTTTTCATTTGATTTTGGTTTTTTATTTTTTAAATGAGTGTAAAGATAAATTTACATCCTTGAATTGGATTTGTGAGGATAATTTAGGCAATAAATTTGGGTTTAAAGAGATATTGAAAGTTTAATTAAAAACAATATGGATGTAAAGAGTAAGTTAGGTGTAGAAAGAAGTTCAATGGTTTCAAATAAAATTTCCATTTAAATAATATCAACATAATATTTGGAAGTTCCTCAGATTAGCTTGGCTAGTCTATGTGACTCGACATTGTAACGCTAGCTATATTATTATCAAAGCTATTGCGTAAAAATTGAATTCTCAATTGAATAGAAAACCAATTATACATATAAACATATATATACTTTGTTTTGGTAAATCAAAAGCTCAAAATGTTAAATAGCAAGGAGGGAAAGTGACTACGAATAAAAATCTGGGAACTCGTTTGTTTTTGTGCGTTTGTACAGTTGCTAACTTATTCCTCTCTTCGACCAGAAAAAACCAACTTCTCATCCCTTTTTTCGGTAGTTTTCTCACAATGTTGCAGTGCTATTCGTGCGTGTTGCAACAGTGACTTGAGCTTTGGCCAAAAAAAAGACTTCACCTGCATATAGGAGCAGGCCGGAGAAGGTAAAGTCACTGTAATATCTTGCTTAGATTTCAACAGTGATCACTTTTGGAGAGAGAGAGAGAGAGAGAGAGAGGTTTGAGCTGTTACAGCTGCTCTGAGGTTGACATTAGAATGTATATAAAGTTCTCAATCTCCTTGCTTAGCCATTTTCGTTCAATTTACGTTGTGAGGCTGATTCATGTTTAGCTAATTAAGGGACTTGAAATACAAATATCTTGGCCAGAATTATAGATATAGAATTTAGATTGAAATACTCATAGTAATGTACCTTGTTAAAAAAATACTGCAATCTCAAAATTCAACACAACAAAGTTTATTTTCGTGATTTTGATCTCACACAATGTATAGAAAAACTTGTTTAGGATAGTAGATTGCAATCCCAAAATAAAGCATTTTGTAATTTGGTGGTCGCATCGATTTGACTTCAATAATCACCCACGGAGCTGATTTAGTCAAATCATTTTGACAAAGTTTTTCCCCGCATGTATATTATGGGGTGGCAAACAAATTGATTGTTAGATAGATCATATCACAATTAGAATTTACAAAAGCTATGTATTATAATTCATGAATTAGAAAAAAATAATGTAAGGAGTGGTTTGTTTGTAGGCAATCAGATATGAAAATGAAATGAAAGTAATGTAACAAGCAAACCCTAGGCCCACGGGAGTAAATGCTAACGTGATCGAAAGTGGTCCTCTCCGACTCCATCCATGCACACACCCACATATATGTGCCTTCAAATATAATCAACGAAAAAAAAAAAAAAAAAAAATATATATATATATATATATATATATATATATATAATTAACGGATAAAAATAATGCTAGATAGACCAATTTTTTATACCACTTTTATAAATCATATGATCTATCATTAATAAGAATTAGAGCATGATTCTAATAATTCAATCATCAACTACGTCATATAATTTGTAAAAATATAGTTTCTTGCATAATACAAAATATGTAACTCCAAGGCCAACGAAGCACGAATGAAAAGCATGCAGTATGAACATCTTTTTTGGGGCTCCATTAGTCGTACTTAACCTAATAATTAGCCACTATTGCTTGCATGTATAATTTAGTCCAACAACAATTCATTACGCCACCAATGCTTAACTTACCTATTCACCAAGTACATGTCATTCTGTTATTTACTCGAACAATGATTATCTGCCCTCCCACTTCTGGTGCCCTCCCGTGCCCTCCTTTTTGTGTGGTCACAGTTAAGCCACGTCAACATTTTATATTACTATTCATTGTTGTCTTATTATCTCTATAAAAAAACAATATAAAATGTTGACGTGGCTTAATCGTGACCACACAAAACAGGAGGGCACGGGAGGGCACCAGAAGTGGGAGGGCAGACAATCCTTGTCCTATTTACTCAAGAAGAAAAAAGTGATTTATGCGCATTTTTTGTAATCCTGTTATTTTATTTTATTTTTTTTCAACTTTTGTAGAAATAGAATAGGTGAGATTAGCTATTCGTCAACAGTCGTGTGCGAGACACCAACCCTCTTTTGAAAGACAAAAGACCGTTGAACCCAGAAACCCCCGCCCATCCTTTTTTTTAAATGAATTTAATTAAAAGAGAATCAGGTAATAACACAAATAAATAATAGTTGGTGTGCGAAAACTATTTTTCTTATTCAAATATGAGCTTACTCTATACCTCATTTACTTTTAGTAAGTAAGACTCTAACATGTGTAGAGACGCATCGATCATTTAGGATATAAACACCGTAAAAGAAATTGGGGCCCATGAACATTTACATGGCATGCATTGACATGACCTCCACGAGACATTTAATCGGTATATTATCTGGTACAGTGAAGAAACAACATATGTGATATATAGAAGAAGATATATATTTTACACACATACACATTTGGAGTCATTGGAAAATGACACATATAGTTGCTTCATGCTGTGGTCTCTTTGCTTCAATTGAATGCATTCAGCAAGAGTTGGTGAGTGACCACCATCAAATTTTGGGTCCAATGTAAAAAACCAAGTATTTCCAAGCGGTGCTGTAATTACAACAGTTCACAGGTATGAAAATCAAAAGAGAGTGAAACTTTGAATTTTTGAAACATGAGAAAACTTCCTACAACTGCACCAAGTCTTCTGTGTAAGAGCTGAGATAAAACCCTAATGCCAATGAGGTGACTGTGTTTTGTGTTGGTCCCGCATTTGGGAAAGATGGAGGTGATGATTCAGGTGAATATTATCTTATCACTAATTTGTCCAGAGGAGAGCGGTCTCGTGAAGTTGGAGAGGCTAGTCACGGACTCTGATGGGATAGTACCATGGTGGTGGGACTTGACCATTTCACATAGAACATGCATGTATGTCTGTATATATGTTCGAGAATAACATCCCCCCTGGGCCCCTGTAAGATTTGAGTTAGGTATCACCTTTCACCTCCCAAAAGAAAAATATGAAAAAAGTTAAAAGGACTACTGCGTTGTCCGAACTTAGTCCAAAGTGCGTTGCAGTAGAGTGCCATGGGGTGTGCAGCAAAACAAGTGTCAGCAGAGCCGCTGACAGAGTTTGTAGATGGTTTGGAAGTTAGGTTGTACCACTCTTAAAAACAGAAGACCGGAGAACAACTTGCGCATATATCGTTATGCTATATAATCTCATATACAATCTCATGTGAAGAATATTTTTACAGGACATTATATTATTGACGTAAAACGATGTAAGATGATGATGTATTGTTACTTACATGTAATCGTTATACAAAAGTCAATGATGTATATACTTATATATGTACCAATTGATATAGCAGATGATCAATCAAGCCATTCTCTGAATTACAGACTTATTATTTCCTGCACTTATTTTCTTTATGCTGCTCTCACTGTTGGTCTCTCCTTTTCTACAGACGTATCCGTGTCATAAAAATATTTTTCCTACACTACAGTATGCCCTAATGCGGAAAAAAACGTACCTTAGACGAGACTGAAAACCCATGAAGACATGAGTTCATTCAAGTTGGCTCGACCAACGTGTTGCTTTTCTCTACACCTAAATTCAACTCTCTCTCCCTGTCTTTTAGATTGTATTAGAATATCGTTTAGATAAAAGAAATGAAAACCCATGATTAGTTAATCCATTTATGTTGAGAAAAAACATGATCAAAAGGGAAAAAAACCAACTCTGGTGCTTGGAATTTCAACATTGTGTGCATAAATATGGCCCATGAACCGTAACCAATCTGTTCCATTGGTCCTAAACAGAACATTATTTTGCTCCGAGCCTCAATAATATTGTTACAACTGCTGGCCCATACTGCTGATTTCACTATCTTTTCTCTGTATGGGGACAGTTTGTTGAGTGTGAAGGGTCAAGGCAGTTGGACAGTTGGTTATTTCTTCTTAGTTCTTATCATCCAAAATCTATATACAAAATGTACAAGATTTGCCTTCTTCAACTTGACGGCATCATACTCTTCCCAAATATGCACGTTTTCCTTTTAGCAAAACCAAAAGTAATCATCTGATCTCTTTATGAAGCCAAAAATAGAAAGAGAATAAAAATGTCGTATCCAGTGCACAAGGCTCCCGCTTTACGCAGGACAAACGATGCTTAGAAAACTAGGAAAACCAAGTTTTGAACTTAAAAGTTTCCCAACCACCAAATCTGTGGAGTAAACATATTCTGCTTGTAAATTCCAAGCCAAGAATGGTGAAATTTCATCAGATTTGGCAATTGGCATATGCCTAATGTAATGTCTAAGAGATGCAATCACATTGCTTGCAGCAACAAAATAAAAGATATATTTGTACTTCAAAATTTCCTATTCTCGCTGGGTTGAATTTAATATTCACTTTCTTTTGGACTATGAGACTACCACACCACCACGAAACGTGCAGTTATGGTCCCTCAACTCATCAAAATGTGCAGCTATGATCCCTCAACTAAAAATCCATTACCATTGGTCCATCAACTTTAATTCAACTAGAGAAATGGTCCCTTAACTTTAACCCAGTTGTAGTAATGGTCATTCCAACATAACTCGTTTTGACAAAATTTTTGATGTAGTTGACGAAAATGACCATAATTACACGCTTTGATGAGTTGAGGGACCCTAATTATATAAATGGTTATTCCAACATAACTTATTTTGACAAAATTTTGACGAAATTGATGAAAGGGACTATAGGTACACATTTTGATAAGTTGAGGGACCAATGATAATTGATTTTTAGTTGAGGGATCATTGCTCTAATTTGATTAAAGTTGAGGGATCATTGCTACAATTTACTCTGAAAAGATTCGTTAGGGTTTTGAAATATTGTGAGGTACATAGCTGAGCACCCAATTGGCAAATTTCCAGGCACCACCAACTCCACTGCTCCTTCTATCAACGCCTGCAACCACAACACACAAAAATGCTCATATAATTAACTAAATTAATTTAGTGAGAAATTTTTGGTTCAAAAGTTGCTAGAAATTGGATTTTTAATTTATATGCTTACATTTGTGGCTTTAGAAACTGCCTCAACAACAAATGGGACTAAAATTTTGACCTGTCTAATGCTCCAACCAGAAAAGAAAGGGCAATTGTAATCGTTTCCACCTATCTCTCCCACCAGAAAGAGAGCCTTCTTGAAGTAGATGTCACACTCTGTTAATTAAATGTGAGTTAATTTAAGATACAGATAGAATTGTGGGTTAATGTAAGGTGTGTTTGTTAACTATTTCGCTTTCAGTGCAAATGAAATGGTTATCAAACGTGCTCATAGAACTACACTTTCTAATAGTCATTAAAATTACTTACCTTGTTTGGTGTTGCAAAGTGAGGGCTTAAGCTTCTTAAACCAACCAAGCTGAGTGCTCAGGGAATCGTTTGTCCACAAACTAGATCCTATATTTCTTTGGCAAAAGAATTCCGGGGAAAGTGCAGTGGCTCCAGCAACAGCAAAGTTTACTCCATGGTCACAATTATAATGTTGGCCATTATTTAGGGCAAGATAGGGCGGCAAATATGGTACCCGAAATACCTCAGCTACAACCATTATATCAAGGGTTCTTTAGATATAGATCCTTGCAATGTGGAGAAAATTAAGTTTCAAGGGCTAAAGCCATATTTTTAGTTATATGGGTTCTTTAGATATAGATCCTTGCAATTTTTATTTTCTAGATAAAAACCCACCATGTTATTGTAAACTACATTGCAAAAGATGAAGATTGGTACAAAGGAAGAGAAAGAATTGGTAGAGAGAAACAAAAGAGATTGTATTGATTGATTAGAGAAAATGTATACAAATGAACTTAAGGAAATGATAGCTATACAATCCTTTATATAGCCATATATCCGAATTACAATAATACAATTCTAACTATATTTCTGTTATATCAGTTATTAGTTATAAATTTCCAAATAAAATCCAAATTTGAAAATGATTGCCAAGTAGAAAAATAATTGACCTATTATTACAAGATATTTACAACTTGTACCACAATATTCAAAATAAATCAATAAATGTAATTACTCACCTTAATTACAATGAACAAATAGTTATTACCCCCTAACATATAAATATATATATATATATATACACGCGTTTAAATGTATATAGTACTATCATAAGTTCAATATATATATATATATACAGAGAGCTTAAGGGGAGGGATCCCCATTTTTTGAAAAAAATGGGGATTAGGTGTGGGGCCCACTTCACATTGAATTTCAACGATCCGAACCGTCTATTTTGTTAGTCTCGATTCATAGATCACCCTTGCAAAATATTAGCTAAATTGGAAATGTTTAAGACATCTACTTGGGTTCAAGGAAATGAACGAATACTTTGTTATATAAGAAAAAATGAAATTTGATCTTGATAATTAAATAGGCAAATAGTTTCGGATTGAATTGAATTTTTGCAAGGGTGATCTATGAATCGAGACTAACAAAATAGACGGTTTGGATCGTTGAAATTCGATGTGAAGTGGGCCCCACACCTAATCCCCATTTTTTTCAAAAAATGGGGATCCCTCCCCTTAAGCTCTATATATATATATATATATATATATATATATATATATGCACAGTACTACACACATTCAAATGTATATAGTAATAGTACTACCATAAGCTCAATATATATCCACATGCACACAAACTCACACACACACACACACAGATATATATATATATATATATATATATATATGCACAGTACTACATATATGTTTATACTAATTAATCTACCTGTACGTAAATTTATGGTGAGCAACTAACATAATTTTGTAGGTAAATTAATGTTCAATCAAATAACATTCTTTTATTTAGTAGGTAATATATTTTCCATGTATTATTACATATATTTGGGACATTTTATTATTATAAGATATATGTACAAATAATAGGTAGATTAATTTTGAACAAATAAAATTGCTTTATTTTGTAAGTAAATTAATTTTGAATCAAATAACATTCTTCATTATGTAGGTATTTTATTTTGTATGTATCATATATTGGACACATTTTATTATTATATGTACAAATAATAGGTCAATTAGTATTGAATAAAAAAATATTATTTTTTTATGTAGGTACATTATTTTGCATGTATTTTTGCATCTATTGGGTTTGCTTTATTATGTAGGTAAATTATTTTGCATGTACTTTACATTTATTGGGTAATTATTTTGCATTTTTTAAGCATCTAACATTTTAAAATTTGAATAGTAGCTGCACTAAATCAAATAATATTTTTTTGTAGGTAAATTATTTTGCATGAATTTTTACGATATCATACATGTTTTTTTTGTTATATATATGTGTGTGTGTGAAATAATTTACCTACATTTATATGTAAAATATAATTTGATTGACTAAACTAAGCATGTATTATTACATATATTAGGCATGTTTTATTGTTATAATTATATATTATGCAATAAATTTATTATTTATTATTTATTATTTTTGTAAAATCATTAAATCTTCCTTTCAATTTGTATAGAATTAATTGTGTACATTAAACATTCAAATAGGGGTATTTTAGGCATCAAAAATTTTTAAATGTGTAAGGTCAAATATAATTAATGAATTTGTTGAAGTGGAATCTAGTCAATGGGTTTTATTGGAGTAAAAAACTTATGTTGGGTTTTATGTGGAGAAAATTAAGTTTCAAGGCTAAAGCCATATTTTCAGGGGAAATTTTATTTGAACCCATATAACCTTTTTTTATACCCAACTTACTCTCTACACTCATATTATTTTTAATTAAACTATCAATATCTCTTTAAACTCAAATTTACTACTTAAATTAACCTTGGAGACCCAATTCAATATATAAATCTCTCTTTACACCCATTCAAAAATAAAAACTCATAATCAATGTTCTACAACTTATTCAAGGCGTACATAGAGCAATATCTCTCACATATTTGTCTTGTGCTTAGTGGAGTTCAAATCTTTTGCACTCATAAGGATTGCAGCCCCTCTGTGGCTTTTCTAATTTAACCCAACTTAACATTGTTAAGTCTTATGTTATCTTCTACTTGCAAAAACAATCTTAATTGCAAAAGGAGTAACTTAATAACTTAATCAAACTCATCGTATCATGTTGCAAAAACAATCTTAATTGCAGAAAGAGTACACTGCAATTACCTCATAGCCACACCCAGAAATCACCACCTGCAAAAGAAACCCAAATAAGAATTAAAACCCAATAATCAAAGTGAACCTAAGACACATTGTTTATACAAAATTAGTTCTAACCTTAATCCCAAATTTGTTGAATCGATAATTAACCTCAGAATCAGATGCTTGAATCAAAAGGAAGCATGAATTTCCTCGTGTTATTCGGTCTTTCCCACCAGAATCCAATCTATGACATATTTTTCACTATGATATACAAAGTCAAGGACGTGGTGGATACTGGATATGATTTAGTACTCGTCACTCTGATGTACAATTGAGTCGAGTTTAAATAATTATGTTGCTAATATTCGATCCTTACTCCTGCATTTGTCACATTCAAGCATAATTTTAATTAGAGCTAGGTATAAATTGCCCAACTGCTTCGTAGAGGATTTTGTTGAGATTATATCGATTCATCCTTTGGTTGGAGGATTCAAAACTTTAAAATCACCACCATCGGTCAAAAAGAGCTTGTTTTTTATTGTATGAGAGTGTCTTAGTATTTTAGCTAGAATGAATGTGGAATAAAGATTGTGTGATGATAGAGTTTGATGTGATGAGAGGGTTTGATTATTAAGTGGGTTTATTGATAAATTTTAATTTTATTGTTAGTTTTATCTTGTACTTGATGGTAATTATGCAATAGGGTAAAAAAGATAATTCACATTTAAAGTTTAAGTTGGGTGTAGAGAGAGGTTATGTGGGTCCAAATAAAATTTCCCTATTTTCAGTTATATCAATTGTCACATACTTTTACTATATTTCCATGCATAGTATGTAATATGGGTTACATACCAGTGAAATCAACGATGAGTCGTCCATCAGAGCATCGGCCGGTTGCATGTTTGAAAAATGTCTCTCCATAAGGGAGGTTTCCGATGGCTAGGAATGACGGGGCTGTTGTGAATGACTCATATTTTGAGCTGGCAATAAGGAAGTGACCTGTGTTTGCTTTCGGTGGAAATATCACATGGTGTGGGCTGCATGAAAATTGCAGACAAGTGTTGCAAAGTAAAAGCAAAAGTGAGTTTGCCTTTTGACTTTGGGAGCATTGCAAGAAATGTGATGATGGCTTGGCCTTTATTTAATGCAAGGAAATGTTTGCATTAGGTATGCTTGTCGAGGGAGAAGACTTGCATCAAAAAAGCATCCAAGGTGGAGAGAGCATTCGGCTCTCCCATGGGAAAGGTTGAACATGGGTTGAGAGAAAATCAAGATAACTAGAGTGAAAAGTATTATAGTGAAAGAATTCTTGGGGTAAAGTGAGGCTCTTAAGAAAATTCTATGAGTTGGTGTGCAAGGGATTCATGATTGAGTTATGTTGATTTAACTCATGTATACTTGTACTGTTATTCATAGTGAAGAGCAATATCTCTCCGGGGACGTAAGCATGTTTTTGCCAAACCTCGTAAATTTCTCAATGTTTTTATTTCTTGTATTTTATTCTGTTCAACTGAGTGTGATTTGATGAGGTTGTAATCTGAATCTCGTTTCCGCACTAACGAACGGGCCAAGGCATAACAATTGGTATCAGAGCATCGTTGGAGGCTTTGGTTCGTTGGAGGTCCAGATTTGTTGTTCACCATGGAATTTTCAGTTGAGCAGTTTAATGGGAGAGGCGGTTTTACGCCTGAAGAAATGGAAGCCGTGTTTAGAGATGCTTGGATCAACTGCGAAAGTTGATGTTGAAGAAGAAGACAAATGTCTCTCTCTTCTTACCTCACTTTCAGATTTGTACGAGAACCTAGTGAAACTTTACTACATGAAAGATACAGTAAGTTTGGAGCAGGTGCAAGCTTCTTTGGTGTGGAATGATACACAAAAGAAGATGACCATGGATGATGGTGGGCATAAAACTGCTTTCGTTGTTCAAGGTTGGAATCGTGGAAGAAAATTAGAAAGAGGATCTGAGAGAGAGCAGGTTCAGATCCGGTTCCGAAGGCAAGGATCCATAGTGCTACAGGTGTTAGGCCGGGTTGTAGCAAATTTGTGGCAGAAAGCTTCGAGTATGCCCTCTAGGTACTCAGAAGCAACACTTCTCTTGATGATGTATAGTCTCAAGTGTTGCAGGGGTTTTGTAGCAGGTGGAGCTATAGGATTCATAGCTGATCAGATGGTTCTGAGGTAGAAGGAAGTGTAGGAATTTTGTCTGGCTCGATGGGTTGTTGCTGGAAACGGGCGCGCTAATGAGTTTCCAGGTTGCAGACAATGAAGAGGAGGAAAACCTGTTGGAGGAGACGAAGGTGTGTCGAGATCCTGTCTGAAGCTAAATGGTGATTTTTAGCTTGCAGCAGCTGCACATGCATTGGCAGTGACTGAATCGGAACAGGACCAACGATGTTGATTCAGGGTGTGCATGCTAGTACGTAAGGCCAATGGACTTTGGTGATAGGTGTAAGGATTTTTGCACTGTATATTCGCCAAGGTGGAAATTGTTGTGATTGGCTTATATTTTGAGCTGGCAACAATGAAGTGACCTATGTTTGCTTTCGGTGGAAATATCACATGGTGTGGGCTGCATGAAAGTTGCAGACAAGTGCTATAAAGTAAAAGCAAAAGTGGGTTTGCCTTTTGACTTTGGGAGCATTGCAAGAAATGTGATGATGGCTTGGCCTTTATTTAATGCAAGGAAATGTTTGCATTAGGTATGCTTGCCGAGGGAGAAGGCTTGCATCAGAAAAGCATCCAAGGTGGAGAGAGCATTCGGCTCTCCCATGGGAAAGGTTGAACATGGGTTGAGAGAAAATCAAGAGAGCTAGAGTGAAAAGTATTCTAGTGAAAGAACTCTTGGGGTAGAGTGATGTTCTTGAGAAAATTCTATGAGTGGGTGTGCAAGGGATTCGGGATTGAGTTATGTTGATTTAACTCATGTATACTTGTACTGTTATTCATAGTGAAGAGCAATATCTCTCCGGGGACGTAGGCATGTTTTTGCCAAACCTCGTAAATTTCTCAGTGCCTTTATTTCTTGTATTTTATTCTGTTCAACTGAGTGTGATTTGATGAGGTTGTAATCTGAATCTCGTTTTCGCACTAACGAACGGGCCAAGGCACAACAAGGGCACCAGAGACAAGGTAATTTCCAGTGTCACTAAGGGAGTCACCGAAGTTGAATATTGCCTTGTATGGTTGACTAGATAAAACAGTACACAAGGCCATGCACAAATAAAAAGCTAGGACTAGGACGGTAAACAACTTTATGTTGTTTGTGTTCAAGGTGAAGATTGATATGGAAATGAGAGGTAAACTAATAATATTTGGCAATTCGATCGGCTTAATTTGTTTGCGTTTTATATAGTACAGAAATAAGATGGAATAATTAAATTAAAGATGGGACTAGAACAAATTAATTAATTAACTAAATTAGTACTGTGGTGGTCTTATGGGGATCAATATCAGCAAATAAGGTTAAGGACAGCCGAGCTACCTTCCAACTAAACTTTGTTTTTTAACGGTGAGGTCAAATGGTAAAATATATTACGTACACTAAATCAAGGAACCGACCAATGTTGAAACAAAAGCTAGCAGACATGTTTTTGTGTAGTTGTTGAAATGTCATCATGTCATAGTGTTTCTCTCAAACACTCTTGTTGCTAGCTAATGTGGGGAATATCCACGTATCTTACTGCTTATGTTAAATTGTTGAGGGGTCATTTGATAATATTTTTTGTTTTTACTTTTTTGAAATTGAAAACGAAAGTCTTGTTTAGTAACTACTTTCAGTATTAAGTTTTCGAAAAAATAAACATTGAAGATTGCTTCCTTGAGTTTTCAAAATTTATTGTTGAGTTTTCACCTTTTAGTTTTCAAGTTTTTATTTTTCTTATTGAAAGTAATTACCAACAAAATTTTAGTTAAAAAAAAAAACTAAAAATTAAAACTAAATTATTATCAAACAGTCCTTTAATTATCGACCAAAAAAAAAGTATATGTTAATTGTCCTTAGTCGGTTCAATTACTTGGTCAACTCTGAAATCCTTCGTAAAATTGTTTTATCTCCACCAACTCTATCAATTCTTTTAACACCATGAAATGGAAAAGTATACTCAGTTGGAAGGTGTTCTTGGGTGCTGATGCACCATGAGGATGATGATCGATTCTAATTATATTTAAATTCTTGAGTGCTAGGGTGGATTAGTATTTATAAGTTGATCAATTAATATTATATTTCTGATTTTTTTGTCTTAAACTGTGTTATACTAACAAAAGGAAAGTGGCTTGTAGGTTAAGTATTATAAGAAAGAGTAATACTTAGCTACTCAAAGATGAGTATGAAATCCCACTCAAAACTCTTAGTGTTTTAATCACAAAACTTTGTGCTTATGATCAGAACCGTTCATATTATGAATCACAACTGTAAAGATCATCTCTGCAAAAAAAAAATTAAAACTAAGGTCGTTTAGTCAATCTATTGTAGCAAATACATAGACGGTTCATAATGCTTTTACCAATACCGTTCATTTGTTTTTAAATAGTTCGATGATTAAATGACCTTAGTTTTAATTGATTTTTGCAGAGGCGATCTTTATAGAGTGATTTATAATATGAACGGTTCTGATTATAAACACGAAGTTCTATAAATTGACAACGAACAATTTTGATTATGAATTCCTACTCATCTTTGAGTAGTCAAGTATTGTTCTATAAGAAAATTTACTTGATATCTGTGCAGTCAGATTTCTGTGTTCGGTTCTCCTTTTCTTTATATATTTATGTATCAAGCCAACAACCCCTTTTGGGCTCACAAGCTTCACCAAAAAGTTTTGGACAAAAATGCCCCCAAAACAAAAAATTTCAAAAGAAACCCAAAATAATGCAGGGGTATTTTTGTCATTTTAACAATGTTTTTTAATAATTAATTCTTTTTGTATAGTTTTTTTTTAATTAGTACCTCACAATAGGCTAGCAATAATGTGATTCAATCAGTTGTTCATTAAATATTATTTTCTCTATTTTTAAACACGTTCAAAACATCTTAAGAGGCGTGTAATGCCAGTTATAAAAAAAGTCTTTCACACGCCTATAATAATGTGATTAAATTAGTTGTCAAATATTTTTTATTTTTTATTTTTTGAACAAATGATATCATCTACACTAAGGGGGAGGGGGTGTGTTTAGCCTCACAATGGACTAGTAATAATGTGATTCAATCAGTTGTTTATTAAATATTATTTTCTCTATTCCTAATGTCAATTCAATATAATGTAGATGAAAATTGAAAGATCGATTTTATTATGTGAATTCAGTTGCTTTGATTGGTTTGTGAGGGATTTTTTCTAGCATGATCTAAGATTATTCATTTACTTCAAATATTTGACTTTCCTTTTGTCAATTCACGCATATAAATACATTTTGAAACGTGAAAGTCGCACGTAGTACGCTGTGATTCAAAAAATAATGTCTTCTGAATGCGCTCCAACAACCCATTTTGGGGACACAAGCTTTACCAAAAAATTTTGGACAAAAATACCCCCAAAACAAAAAAATTCAAAAGCAACCCAAAATAATGCAGGGGTATTTTTGTTATTTTAATAGTGATTTTTAATAATTAATTCTTTTTGTACATTTTTAATTTTTTTTTAATTAGTACCCCAGAATAGGCTAGCAATAATGTAATTCAATAAGTTGTTCATTAAATATTATTTTCTCTATTTTTAAACGCGTTCAAAACATCTTGAGAGGCATGTAACGCCGGTTATAAAAAAGATATTTGCACGCGCATAATAATGTGATTAAATTAGTTGTCAAATGATTGTTTTTTTATTTTTTGAACAAATGATATTATCTACACTAAGGGAGATGAGGTGGGCTTAGTCTCACAATGGGCTAGCAATAATGTGATTCAATCAGTTGTTTATTAAATATTATTTTCTCTATTCCTAATGTAAATTCAATAAAATGTAGATAGAAATTGAAAGACCGATTTTATTATGTGAATTCAACTACTTTGATTGGTTTGTGAGGGGTTTTTTCTAGCATGATCAAATATTATTCATTTACTTCAAATATTTGACTTTCCTTTTGTCAATTCACGCATATAAATATATTTAAAACGTGTAAGTAACGCGTAGCACCCCGTGATTCAAAAATCACGTGCGTGTACGAAGGCTAGTCATTTCTAAAGAAAGCAAGGAAACTAAAGTGAAATGTCTTGATGCATGCTTCAAGTACGTTTGTCCAGAGTCTATAATCATAAAGTTATACGTAAGACTTAGTAAAATGGTCAAGGATGGAACCCATGGCAATGTAGCGATAGGCTGCTTCTGTATGGTGAATCCCATCCCAATGTGCATACAAGTTGGGATCCTTGCAGGTTGTTGAACATGGCCTTCCACGCAGTGCTGAACAATTGTAATTGTACGGTCATCCCCCTCCGCGACAGGCTGTTAGAACACTTTCGAACCCTGCATATATCAAAACAAGTCCAATTTACCAATAAAAAACACATGGTTCGAGAGTAACACAGCCACTCGGTGTTGCTAATATATTTTATAATATGAATGGACAAAGAGTATATGTTTTAATTGGGGTATAGTATTAATAAGTAAAACATGTGAACTGTCTCACACCAAATGTTGTGAGTACAATCACCCTGAAGAATTTCTCGGAATAGAAGATGGAATTTGACCGTAATGCTGAGGAGCATGATAAAAGGGCTTGGATGCACCATAGTAATCAGCATATAGAATCCTTGCAGATGGGTATTTTTGTATGAGTGTCCCCAAGGCACGTTTGAGCTCCTTTTTGTGGTACTTAGAGAAATCATTGTGAACTTTCAAACACCCATTTCCATCATAATTAGGTACAAATTAACTTGAGCACCCAGTCGGCAATTTTCCAGGCACCACCAACTCCACTGTCGTCCTTCTATTAATGCCTGCAGTCACAACAAAAAAGAAACCCATAGAATTTATTAATTATGCGACAAATTTTTGAGTGTATGATTTACTAGCAATTGACATAAATTTATATAATATTACTTAAACACATAAAATGTTGATGATGTCCTTTTTAATATAGGTGAGTATTACGTGCATACAATATTGTGATCATTTTTTTTTGTCTGATACAAGTGAGTAACATTATTGTTCATACATATATATATATACATATATATATATATATATGGTTACACTTGTGGCCTTAGAAATTGTATCAACAACAGGAGGTACTAAAGCTTTGGCCTGTTCAATGCTCCAACCCGAAAATAAAGCGTAATCGTAATCGTTTCCGCTAGAAAAAGTACCTTTCTGAAGTAGTTGTCACACTTTGGTAAAAAATGAAATGTATTAAGAAATTAGAATATAGATAGAATTGCGGGTTTACTAAAATTTCTACTCCTTCCTGAACATTACGAAGAAAAAAAGGTCAATGAATTCTAGCACCAATATCCATGGAATAAGATGACATTCCTACAAGGACAACTCTCTGACTTCAAGAACTCAACAGTCACAGTTAACCGTGTGTGTACCCAATAAGCACATAACTCAACAGTCACAGAACCATGCATGTACCCAATAAACACATAAATTTTCTTTAGTCACGCCATCTTGATTCATAGTACGTATGTGCCTATTAATGTTTTTTTTTTCTTTCAGGGAATGCTGATATTGTCACCTTTCTTGAAGCAAAATATCGCCTTGTAAGGTTGAGCGGTAGCTGCTAAAATTATAGTGCAGGTCGACATGTATACATAAAATGCTAGCATTTAATACATAAATAACTTTATGTTAAACTGATTAGTGATGATCAAGGTGAAGATGAAGTTGGGACATTGGACGGCTTTAAGATGAAGATACATGATTGAGACTTTTCATACAATTAATTAACGATGTGAATTTTTTTTTATTTTTTAAATATATGTTTGAAGTCTTCGTTTAATCATGTAAATCAATATATTGAGGGAACATTGTTTATTTTGATGTAAGTGAAATTGAAATGTTGAAAGTCAACGGGGATGTAGCTCAGATGGTAGAGCGCTCGCTTAGCATGCGAGAGGCACGGGGATCGATACCCCGCATCTCCATTTTGTATTTTTTTCCCTTTTTATTTCCTGTCCTACCAACGACATCAAAGATACTGTCGTTTGTGAAAAGCGTCGTGTCGTTTATTTTTTCACCATCAAACCTTCCACCAAGGACTTCTCAAAGTCAAACATACTACTAGTTTGCTTTTGCACCACCAAACCTTCCACAACGAGAAACGTGTCTTCGTGGTTCAGTCTCTGGAAACTTCTAAATGTGAAAGGAATGGACTTTACAGAGTACTGGCTGAACTATTTCTAGGTAGAATGGTAAATAGCTAGGTTAATTGTATACCTAAAAACAGACTGTTGTAGTATTCTATCTCTTTTGTGTTTACAATACTCATCACGACAATCCTCATTAATATTTGCAACAGAGTGAGGGGTTAACCATTTATGTTAGTTATTTGATGACTCAAAGGCGAAAACATGACATATTTAGTATTTGTACTTTCTTGATTTTGACTTTATATTTGGTCAATCTTCTTGTTGACATACCGATTAAATATTGACACTATAACATCTCTAATTGTCTGACGCAGAAACTAACCATCATATAAGCTAGAGGGGTGTGGTAAAATGGCCATGCATGCGGTGGCAAATTTTATATACGATGATATTATTGAGCTAAGATGTTAGGGGCAATTTGGCGCATGCATGGATGACTGTGACCGCTCATTGATATATTACTGATGTAACATACACTGGTGGCCTTAGTTGTTGCTCCGACACCATACTGAAGCTTTGAGTTGTTATTATAATACATTTCTAGCTACGTGCTTATGATGCTTTTTTGCAGTTGAGAGTTTTAAATATTTAGACGTCTTCAACTAGACATTTTTCTGAATTTTTAGTGGCGGTGCTGATTTGAGGAAAATTGCAATTAAAATAATACTGGTGATGGTCCTATGAGCTATGAGCAGGAGCACAAGTTTCCCTCGTTACGCTACTACGTACGTACACAAAACCAAAAATGGCTTCAACACCATTAATATCAAATGTGGTATAGTAGGATTATACTTTAAACTATATAGCATATATAGGGGTATTATTTTCTATATTTTCATGTCAATTATTCTAAATTTTGTTAAGAAGGTGAATTATAAAGAGCTTTAGTATTTTCCTTTTCTCAATTTTAGCCAATATACACACTTAGGATGTTTATTTTATGATAAATTGACTTTCCGAATAACTAGAGAAGGAAGCTAAGAGGTTGAAGGTCATTGTTTCTAAATTTTATAATTTTTCATGGAGTAAAACGTTCCAATTTTGCAAATCAATCCCGCGTAAGTTACATTCTTATTAGAACTGCATATATATGGGAGAGTGAAGATTTGAATGGTTTCCCAATTTTTCCTAGCAACGTAAGTTGTGATTTCACCATAAAACTAATTGATAATATAAAAAGTAGCCCAATTACCAATGCAAGGTCCCTCATTTCCCCGATGTGATATTTATATTCTCAATAGGTGCCCTTATGTGTGGCTAATTTTCAAGCTTAGCACGTGGACAACACAAATCGAATGACGTGAAACATGTGTGGCTGTTGGGCTTTACATAATGAACCTGCTCTAATACTATGACGAAGTTAAGGTTATACCATAAAATCAATTGGCAATATGAGAAGTAGCCAAATTACTTATATGCACATGTAATGTCCCTCATTTCCCTGATGTGTTATTCATATTCTCAACAACATATGCTTCAAAACATAAGAGATAGAGCTACAAGTTTCCTATTTTTCAAAATTGTCCAAAAGTTAAACCAACCCCAAATCATGCATGCAAAGTGACTGATGTGTTTCTCTAGCCAAGAATGAAGCTATTTAGGATTTTGTTTTGTTTCTACCACACCCTTAAAAGTTTTTCTAATATAAATAGAATATCCTAAAGTATCTCTAAAATATAACACCCTAGCATGCGTACACAAGCTATATTTCTTTTGCTTTTGTTTATCTGTGTATCCCAAATTGGGACATGGAGCCCGATCATATTAATGAAATGGACCTTTTTATTTAATTTTTTTTTTTCGTTTTTTTTACATGATACAAGTAGCACATGTAGAGCGAGATTTGATAAAATAGCTTCTGGTGCACAAGATAATTTCTTGTGTGATATAAATGGGAAAATAAATCGGACGCCAAGTCACAGTTGTGACACACAGGAGGTACTAATGTGGGGAATGGTATAATTTCCATATAATAAGGCCTTGGCTATCCACCGGTTTGCTGCTTCAGTACAGTGCAGACCGTCCCAGTTGATAGACTCTGCAGGGTTTGCACAAGCACTTGCCGCTGGAAGACCACATTGTGCTGATGAGTTGTAATTGTATGTCCCCCCTCCTCCACAGCATGCTTTGGTAGCTTCCCCAGTAAATCCTGCAGTGACGTGAATCCGATGATATATGATAACTGAGAGGTTCAACATTTGAAACACTTCCAAACTTTATGTACCTTTAACAATAATCGTAAATTAATTAAAAACATTAAGACCATTTGATAATCATTTCGTTTTTTTTTTAATTTTTTTTTTTAAATTGAAAACTTGTGGCCATTGCTTTTAGATTTTAGTTTGTTTTTTAAATTTTTACCGAAAACTAAAAACTAAAATGATTAGTAAACGAGTGCTAGAGAGATGCTGTACCAAATTGTTTTGGAGACTGATACAGTTGTAACGTAGCACTGTAAATATCTCCATAAATGATGCTAGCATGGGGATGAAGGCTTCGAATCTGACTTAGCTTTATCTGAAGCTGCTCATTGTGATACTCAGAAAACTTGTTTAACCAAGTAAGACAACCGGTTGAAGGATCGTATTTACTCTCATCTGAACCCTCATACAATGTAAGGTAAGCAGGGAGGCAACCAATTGGAAAGTTGCCTGGTACCAAAAGTGTTGATGCCCCATGCTCAATCAACTCCTGCAGAGCAATGCAAACATAAAAATTAAATCACAGAAGCCTACAATTTATATGATTTTAACTCTTACATTGATAGCTGAAGCCATTGCTTCTATCACTACTGGAACAAATGTTCGAACAATTTGAAAACGGTCTCCTGCAAACAACGCATGGGTGTAATCGTTGCCTCCAATCGGTCCCATAAGAACTAGAGAACTTGAGAGGAGATCCCTGCAGTCTGCAAATTCAAAGATATAAAAAAAAGAGTAACTGATCAGTCACATCCAAGATGAAACCTTCACATTCAGGCCCCAAGTACAATTATTAACGGGAGTTGTTATTTATGTGGTAAATGGGGACAAGAAACAACTTGAAATTGTAAATTTGCATTTTAACACAATCATTGAAACTTACTTAGAAAGAAAAACTAGTTAAAATTTACTGCACCACAATTGTAGCAAAAAGTTTATAATTCTTAACGAGAGAAATGTCGTTTAGTGTTTAAGTTAGAGAAATTAGACACATAATCTAAATGCTCATAAAAAGTTTGGTAATTGACCTGAAGCTGTATTGCATAAAGGTGATAACATTCCTTTGAACCAATCCAATTGAATTCTTAGAGAGAAGTTTGTAAATTCATTATAATGTCCCATTTTTTCAAGATAGTCAGTGTCAAGTGCAGTCGCTCCTACTACTGCAAAATTCGCACCCTCTTCAAAGTTGCGCAGAGTTTCATTGACGTTCAGGATTTCAAAATAAGGTCGCACAAGAGGAAGTCCCAGAGATTCAGCTGCAAAAGACGAAGCCAAAAAGAACCTGATTATTTGTTAAATTAAAAAAAAAAATGATAAGTATGGCTTTTTAATGGTATGAGATATAGATAAGTGGATGTATTGCACATGCCAATGAAGTCTATGATTAAACGACCGTCGCAGCAGCGGCCGGTGGGGTGATGAAAGAAGTCCTCCCCATATGGAGGGAAGAAGAAGTGGAAAGGCTTGTCATGGTGGTCAAGGGCATTGAGGTATGAGTTGCCTGTATCAGCAAGTGAATCCCCAAAGCCAATGATTGAAGTGTAGCAACCAAGCGCATGTGGGATGATCACAACTGTTCCGACGAGGAGGAGGACGTTCATGGTCAAACTTGCCCGAAAATACCTAGCCATGGATCTCTCTCTATCTCCTACTCTCACTTACACGGAGCTTGAGTTATGCATATTAATATACATGTTGTGTGTGTGTGTGTGTGTGTGAATAAGTACACGTATATGGTAACAGTAAATTCATGTCTTGATCAAATGCATGCATGAAAAACTTCAGAAACCAAGTAGTCTAGTTGTATATTCTCATTCCACACGACAACGGAAGCTTGCAACTGTAAGTCTATGCGAGGAGATATCTGCCTTCCAACTACAAGTCTTTTGGAGGAATTCTATATACTGATTTCTACAGTTCGGAAACAACTGCCTGCTCTAAAAAAAAAATGGCATCAAACAAAGGAATTTTACCATTGTCTAAGCTGGACATTTACCCTCATCTATGCAAACGGACAACAATTTGTTACCATCGGCTAAATGGCGACTTGAAGGT